ACTGACATTCCTGACAGTACACACATTTATATGAACCCTGCTTCTGTTTGCCTTGTGCAGATGTTTTGAGGGAGTGCTGACAGAGGCAACAGCAGATATCTTAACTAACATGCAGTCTGTCTCAGCTTAGGGTGGATTTGAAGAAACACTTTGTTTGTTTTTATCTATGGTGCTTTGAATGTTATAGGTTTGTAGGAGACCAAATCAGATCCAGCTTCTAGTATTATTACTGAAAATGGACTGAAATTTATTTACTGTGTGGTCCTGCATAATATTAAAGTTGTATTTGTTTAAATACTTTTTTATTTCAAATTAAAAAAAAATGTATTTCAATTTTTTAAAAAACCAAACTGAGATTACTAATACAGTTAGACACATTAGTAATACAGTTTCTAACATTAAAAAAAAAATCATTTTAGGTACACATCAGTTTTTCCTGACAGTTTCATGTCTCGACTCTTATTCACAGCTCTAATTTTCTGTCTTCATGCATAATATGCTTCCTCCATAAAACTCATTCTGTATTCTGTGACTTCTTTTCTGCTTTATGTGTACCATATTGGCTTTCCATGATAGCAAATACAGTCTTTTTGCTTCACGATGACTCACTGAGCTGATTAATAATGAAGAGTTTTGACTTGTCATCTAGCTTGGTGTAGAGAGAATGAGAGCTACTGAAAAGTTTCATGCCTGAGCATAAGAAGTGGAATGGAAACTTACCACTTCAAGTACTTTTTTTTGTGTCTGATGAAATAGTGTGGTTTTTCTCAGCCTTAAGTGTTTCTGTTTATACCATAATTGGATCAATAGTATCACTCTGGAATTTCTTACTAAGTGTAAGAATGGTTTATTAAGTGTAAAATATGGCTAAGTGTAGCCATATTTTTAATACCTAAATCTCTCTTATTATTTCCCTTGACTTTTATATCTTTAATTACCCTCTGCCCACTAGTAATTTTATATCATTGATGATTTTAATATGACTAGAATTGTCAAAATCAGAAATTCATATTTCAGCCTTAAGAAATGGAAGGATTTTTTTGTTTGTGCATTTTTAATGTTACTACTTTTACTGTTTTCTCCCAAATTCTACCTAGTTTTCAAAACTGTATTGTTGATTTTTTTATTTCCTCCATATAGAACTTCATATTGCTTACAGCCTGCATTACAGGCTTGTTGGCTCTCTGTTCTCTTGCACAGTGTTTCTTCCTTGATCTTCTTGCTAATCCTAAGAAAAGCAGTCACGCCTACAGAAGACCTTCCTGCTAAAGCAGCAGTGATATTAGGTGATTAGTCCATGACAGTTTAATTAATGTGAAGGAATGCAGCAACTGAAACACATTGTCCCCAGATATCTTAAAGGTGTGACTACTTCTTTAGGGGTATGTAGGCACCATTCCTTAATGTTTCTGTAAAGTATGCCCTACCATCCTGTTTCCTAACTGTGAGGAAAAGCCATCTATAACCAGTCTGCATTAGAAAGGGTAACTGATTTGAAGATAATATACAAGAGTAGGCATATCTATTTTATTGAATATCCCACAGTGCAATCAGTATTCTTCAAACGTGCATTTTTTAGTAAGTCCAATCAAACAGACTTATTGAAGTATAATTTTCTGCCAAGGTTCTACTGACACTTCTAGTGAAGCAAGTATTAACTTGAAAGATAACAATGAAAAGCTTTTCATTTGCAGTCAATTATGGCCTCTGAATTTGAAAGAAGTATACTTTGTATAAGCAGCGTGCTAATAACCAGCTGTGATCTGCAGACTTACTCTAATTTGTACTATTGTTGTGCAGATAACATTGAAGTGGCTTATCTAAAGACCCTGACCAAGGATGACATTATACAGTTCTACAAGGTAAGTTAGTCATGCAGCTAAAATGTTGCTTAGAATGAGATGGAGGTACAACTGAATCTTATTTGTGCATGTTCTGAAGGGATATACTGACATCTGTTTGAGGTAGGTGATAAAATGAATGCAGGTATCTTTTATTTCCTGAACATTACTTAGTTTAATAGCAACTGTAAAAATTGCACAGAACGATAGGGTTTTGTTGTGTTTTTTTCCTTGCTGGCTCTTATTCTTGTTTCATTTATCTGTTCTTTATGGATATAAAATGTGCTGCTCTGTGACCAAGCCTGGCCAAAATTGCACATTTGTTCTTTTATCTTCTTCTTCAACCAGTCAGTGATGCAGCTTATTTTATGGGCATGAATTGTGAATGAAAGAGATATTTTTAAAGCTTTGTTCACTGTAAATCGGTAGGGCTTTTTGTTCCTCTAATGGTTAAACAGAGCAAAAGAACAGCATAACGATGCAGTAATTGTACATTTTAACTCAGATGGATATCCAGTATAAGTGATTCAATGTGTCCCTGTCCTGTCCATGTTCCCCCACACCAGTATAAAAAAAATTTGGGCATCATTCGTTCTGTTTTTTAATATGTAATAGACGATGGTATTTCACTATATTGCAAAGTGCACATGGAGTTTTTTTACTCACGGAGAAGCTGGTAGCTCGGGGAGTTCTTTGGAAAATAAGATCAACTTAATGTCTTCAGAATTTATTATTGGATGGAATAATTTCTGCCCATGAAGAAGCATGGGCTGTGTCTGTCTGTGTGTGTCATGTGTCTGTCTTTTTTTTTGCCTCTGTTGGGCAGAGGGGATTGTTTGCTTTTAATTTTTTTAATAGTACGATAGTATACGTGAAGTTATGCAGCAAATGGAAAGTTAGTAAATGGAATTTCAGTACCTGTTGTTTAATAAATGAGAATTTTTGAATGAGTATGCATATTCTGGATTTGTAGGAATCTGTACTATTCTGCTTACACCAGTGCTCAATACACAATTATTCAGCATTCCAGAGCTGAAATAACAGGCTAGATTGGTGAGCTAGTCCAGCTGAATTTAATGATTGTGTTCAGGGTGATGTGCTTCCAGAAGGCTGCTAGGGATTGAAAGTTCTGCAGAGATTTTAGGTTGCATTCTTGATACTATGATAGTTAATGGCTGAATTTCTGTTACTTACAGTTTTTCTGAATTCCAAGCAGTGCATGAATTGCTTAACTTGATTGTAAAATAATTCAGGAGTACTGTAGTGGTGACTTCTAATAATATTTGAAGGCACATCCCAAAGTTCATTCCCCATTTTAAGGATTAAATTAAAATTTAAATGCTTTTGTTGTTTTTACTATTTTATAATGTCTAAGGAATGCTTCCTACACCTGAAGGACTTGATATTTTTTACTGTAGGTGCTGTTGGCAATAGATGCTCCCAGAAGACACAAGGTATCAGTACATGTCCTTGCAAGGGAAATGGATTCCTGTAAGTATTGTGCTGAATATAATATTGAATCAATTCCTGTTCCAGCAAGTCATAGTTACAGATAGCCATGTTATATCATACAAACCCACTGTAAGAAAAAATCAGCTTTGTAGATGATACACCTTTCAGAAGAAAAAGGTGGGGTTTATCCTAGGTGTACTTCATACGAATGCTTCAGATTTTTTGTTGATTTTTTTAGATACTGCATGCATGTCATGAAAACTCCCTTCTGCCTCAGGATTGATTTTTATGGTAGTGTAGAAATTGTAGCTTTGCAGCTGAGTAAGGAAGACTTACTTCAAAGCACCTTTCCAGTTCTCATGGCTGGTAATTGCTAAATAGAAATAGTTCTGAAACTTTTCCTATCTAGAGAAGACTTCTTCAAGAGCAGTAATTGTATTGCCAGATTGGGTATTACTTGCTTGGAGTGGTATCTTCCCAAGAGAAGGGTGAGCTTGCAAGACAACCTGACAAGTGGTTGCTTAGAGAAATTACAAGTACTAAAACAGCTCTCCAGTCCTAAATCTTTTAATCTGGCATTTGGCCTCTCTTATGCCAAAAAATAAATATTAGAAATGCAAGAATAAGTTTTGGGGTAATTGGAGTAGGATATGTGTGGTTATAGACAGGGAATACTTGGGGTTGCTGTCCAGATTTTTGGTGCCTGGAGAAACCTGTACACTTCTACAGGCATGTCCTTATCAAATGATGTGCTGTTCTTGCACTGCTCTTGTGTGTACCATTGGCATTGCTACTGTTCTCATAATTTGTACTGAGAAGCAGTTTTAAGTATTGATTGATCAACAGATTAGCAATTTTTATTTCTACGTTTTCTTTATGTGTAATAAAATTAATAAAAGCCACGACCTCAGCTCATGTTTTTAGATAAAATAATGGATTAATATCTGTATTTCTAAAGACAGACTTGTAATATAAAAGCAAAATGTTTATAAAACCTTATTTAGTGATACTTCAAAATTCAAATATTTAAAATATTTTATTTTGAATATTTAAATAAAGGTGTTTTATTTAGACACCTGTCTTATAAGAGAAAGCAGTTAATCAGTTATGTAAATTCCAGTAATTAAATTATGCTCCCAAATTAATTTTTCTGGTGTTAAATAGGCCCTGTTGTTGGAGAATTTCCATGCCAAAATGATGTGAACCTGGCACCAGCACCACCACTACCACAGGTAAAAAGAAACAACAAAAAAAATCCTAGCCTACTACATTATCAATCTAGAGATTTTGTATCATTAAATACAAGTTTATAGGGAGAAACAGACCTCTGGAAATTGCTGCTGTCATGGGGCTGATGTTTTAGCACTTTTCTATTTGCATTTTTGTCCTCCCTAACAACAGGGATTTTGCTGATTTTTCTTTTTATCAATTTGTCGTTTTCCTCGATTCTTTGTAGTCCTCTGAAAGGAAAGCTAACAGCAGTAGTAGACTGCACTGGGTATCTGCACTATGGATAAAATACAGATGATTATTGTCTGAAAATACTGATTGTATATGATCAGATAAATCAGGTGTCAAGATAGAGATGCATATGCATCAACAAATTTATCATCTTTGTTTAAAACAACCCAAACAACCCACCAACCCAAAGCAACAGCAAAACCAACTACTTGGTCATTTTCTTAAAGCCTAAAATATTAATGCACATTCCTGTCAATATGTTTAATTGTGGAGGAAACAGCTTGGCAAATTCTATTCAGACAAGTATTACAGATTTCACTGTGGTTGGATAGGACAGCACTGGGCCCTGACTGGACCTTCGGTGACTTTTCTCGAAGGAAGGCAGTGTTTGTCCCGACAGGTGATTAACTTGTCACAGTGTGGTGGTCTGTGTTCTTCATCAGAAGAACGTTATTTCACCTGTAAGGTGAAAGAACTGCCATGAGCAGAAATTTCTGTGTGAATAGTATGAGGATGTATTAGCCATTATGACTGAAATATTAGAAGCTTACTTTGTTACTACATCTCGAAATAATAGTGCATAGAATAGCTATTGTGGTTCTGATCTTAGTCTGATGTTCAAAGGACAGGTGGTGTGTTCTGTAATGGAATGAAAATTAAAAGATTGCATTTAGAGGAGAGTCTGATGTTATTACCAATGCAGTTACTGCATTATAGCTGTTTGAATGATATAAATATCAGATATATTGAATGATATAAATATCAAACTGGTTGTTGAGTAAGAAATAACATTGTATTTTGGAGGTTCCTGTAATGTAATAATAATGAAGTATGAATCAATAATATTGTAGAAAAGAGCAAGACAGGTATATTTATATGTAGCTGTAGGAACAGTTAAAATGAAAAGCCACAAAGGAATTTGCCACTTTTCTGACTGAAGATACTGAGCAGACTTTTTCTTGCATGCACTTCTTTGCAGCCAAGTGTGATTGAAAATATGACAGAATTCAAGCGCAGTCTGCCGCTGTTCCCACTGGTGAAACCACATATCAATTTCATGGCTGCAAAACTGTGAAGAACCCCAATGGATGAAGAAATGCAAGTGATCAGTACTGACATGGTTTCAGGGGACTTCGTGATGAACAAAATTATTAAAAATCATTGGGATAAATGGTTCTGTTCATTATGAAAGTCCCAAATTCCTTCTCGGTTCATTTGACATTAACTGTGTGTTAGGGACAGAGGGTATATAAAAATCAGTTGTGGTCATGTGTCATTTATATTACAGACAACCTGTTAAAAACCAAAATCAACTGAAACAACAATAATAATGAAAATCTTGTAGATGCAGTATATTTTTAAAATAACATATCCCTTCAGAATTTCATTTTGATGAAATAACCCTCCAGAGCAAACGAAGTTGCTTGAAATGTGCTTGTTACTCCTGAAAAACATTGTTTAGTACCCAATAATTATCTTATTGGGATTTGGAGGGGGTGAGATAAGTAAGTCCTTTTTGGGAACGGGTCAATAAATTTTCTTAAAAATGGAGACTTTCACATTTTTTTGAAGTGATATGTTGAATGATACTTTTTTAATTGATCCTTAAGGCAACCAACATATTTTCTATTTAAGTTTTATGAAGACCAGTGGGGCTGAAAAAAAGGAAATTTGACAGCACAGTAATAGGTGAGAGAATTGTCTTAATGAGAATAATTGAAGATAAGGGCATGATTTTAATCTTTCTATACAAATTTGGGGACATTTTCTATTAAAACTAGTAAAATGCTGGAAACACTTTATTAGTGCATCTTATTTTTGTTACCAAAAGTGTTGTCCCAGTCTCTTGATACTGTCAACATCCTGTTCAGTTTTACAGCATTATTGTGAACTGTCCATTTGGTATATCAAATACTTTCTTTGGTGTCATTTTTTGTTTTCAGTTGCATATGTGCCGATGGAGAACTCAGTCTGTTTTGCCTCACCTGTTACGTTGGATCTCAGTCCAGCAAAGCACTCATTAGTGCAAATAACTTTAAACACACCTGAATTCATCACTCAAGAACAGGTGCACGTCAACTAGGGGCTCTCTAAAGAGTCAGATACATCCTTATTTTGATATGTATGTGGGTCCTTCTTGTCCTTCAGGAAGGTGTTTGGGGCAGTGCTGGGGTAGCAGTGCTACAGCACAGCCTGTGCTTCAGGTTACATCACAAAGGGTTTGCTCCTGCTTCTGGGAAGAGGGCAGAACTCAGAAGGATCAAGAACTATCTGATATAATGTTTATATATATAGATATATATATTCCATAATGTAGTAAAATGATAAGACAATATAAGGTGTCTCACCAACTTTACTGACTTCTGCAGAGTGGTCTTGTGCTTGGGACAGTGCTAAAATAGGAAAGGGCAAGGAGCATGAAGTTCTCCTACCTCTGTAATACATAAAAGAGATGGCATTTATTCAGACAGCAGAGAGTATGTACACTGAAGGTGTAAAATGTGCTCATCAGAGGGGTTAGTGAGAATTTGTCTTTTACTAAAAGAGCCTGATGTGACAGGCATGTGTGTCAAACATCAGAATCCTGGTGTAGTCAATAGAGCTGTTCTGTGATTGAATCAATGTTGGTTCTTACATTGGCTCTGAGGCCAAATTAAATGAATGCTTGACAGGGAAAGGGCCTTAAGTTGGGTTTGAGTGTCTCCTAACTGAATAAATATGGTGCATTTAAACGTTGTTTCAAAGGTTAATGGTACTTGTTTCAGTATCTTTTTAATAAATTGGGTGAGAGTTTGTGATGTAACCTGTTGCCAAGGAAGGCCACTAGCATCTTTTTTAGCCTGATGAAGAGAAAAAAAATAAATACAGTCTAAACAAAACCAGTAAAGATGTCTCCGCTCACATTTTTCATGGATCCCTCTCATGAGGCTTTTTGCCCTCTTGCATTTCACTTTTGTTTATAGTTTTCCTTTAGTAAAAGTATTTGTATTATATATATTAAAAGTTTTGACAACATATTATAAAAATATATATTTTGGGATTTAGTATTTAAACATACCACTCTTATGGTGAATATAATGAAATGGCTCCTATTGTGTGTAAAAATAAATATATATATATTCATGGAAGTACTATCAACTCTTAACAGATTATATAAATAAATTGGAATAGTAATGTAACACAACTAACACAAGCTCACAAATCATGTTTTCCAGAGGAAAAAATGTATACCCTCAAAGTTCTGTGACTGGATGTGGAAACCCATGGAGTTTTCCAACAACTCTTAATTGCTTTTAAGTGTTCTCCAGCATTTTACAGTTTCTGAGTTTGATATAGCAGTAAATTTTGATAAACTCAGGCATACTAATGGGTCCATTTTAATGGATCCAAAGCTGCAGTGTCTACAAGCAATAAAGAACTACCTAGAATACACTGTAATTCAATTTTAGTGCTTGTTAATTAGTTTATGTAAGAAAGCATAAATTATTATTACATAACTGTAATTTTTGCAAGTGCTATTTTAAGCAGTTGATGTGGAATTGGGTGCATGTGACACAGCCAGTATGACAGAGTGCTAGAGTTATTCTGTTTACAATAAACAATCTGAATTTAATGTTTGGAGTTCTTAATTTGTTTCATTTTAATTTTTGCATACTGGTAATGTTACATCTATCAGTCTGTGCATGTTTTTTATTAGACATTAAATGGGATTTTCTGCTATCCAGCTGGACGAGTTTAGGCCAAATAGCATTGCTGCAGAAGTGCTCCCAGGCACTTCTTGGGGATTTTCAGAGAACTTCCCCATGTGGCACCCCCCACCTCTTAGGTAGATCCACCTCTGTTGCCCTCTAAGTGTATGAAAAACTTAGTAATGTAAAGGCAGAAATATTTGCACAAGACAGAATTTTAATTATTAAATCTGAAACTGTAAATTTAGGACAAGACTGAATCTTGCCTAGTGCAGGTTTACAGTGTTGCTTTGGAAAAATTACTTTCCCTGGTCATTTTCTTTGTTCTATGCACACCAAAAGACTACATTTCAAAAGGTTAGGAGTGTGTGACTGTTAAAATAGTAAATAATGTCAATTCTGAGAGCATAAAGGCCCTCCTGCCCTTCCGAGGGGACTCCTTGAAGTAATGCATGACAGTGAGCAGCATTAAGAGAGACAGGTTTTGTCCTTGGCACTGGGAGGAGTGGCTGGTACTCTCAGGGGAGAACGAAATTCCAGCAGCCCACCTGGAAAATTACTTGTCCCCAACACTAGGGCTTTGTCCACTTCCAGTTGTTAGGGGTTGGTGTAAATCTTGACTTCTTGGCTTTACTGTCTTGCAAAAAATCGAGTTATGCAAATTACTTTAACTAATACTATTAGCTATAAAAGAATGCTCGAGCTTGTTCATATTGTTTAAGTGCTTGGATGTGAGCAGCCCTTATTGATAACATGTTCCACAGTGTAATCTTAGCATCTGGAAAAGTGTTACACACCTTTTAACTTCATTTATTATTATCTAGCTCTTGTTTTAAAACACGCTCAGCAGAATTTTACCTTTTCTCTCCTACTGAACTGGTTAGTATGCTTTTACTGTAGGTCTGCTGTAAAGTGAAAAAACCATTACCTTTTACATTTTTGTGCATTTTTCCCATGTTTTTTTAGTAGGTGACCATTGAGCTGACATAGTCATCCACAGTGACACTGGGGCCTTTGCTTGAGCTCATACCTAATGTGATATTCAAATCCAGCTCTGAAATACTTGGTTTGCAAGTCAGTTTTTAATATTGTTGCTAGTACAAGGCACCTCTGGTTATTTTAAAGCCAGAAGAGATCAGAAAGTCAGGCCCTTTTTGTACCTTGGAATTTTAAAAGAAGCCCAGCCTATATAGATTCTGCTGAAAGCCTTTTATTTGAAACATTTCTATTTACCATTCAAAGAACATAAATTACAGTATGTGTTGGGGGTGGAATATAATGGTAATAGTGGGTGAAATTTGAATTGCAGTTCAAAGGAGCAAAGTGTATAAGGCCTAAGGCCCAGGAGATTGTCACAATTAAATCAACTTGTTTGAACTGCCATCTAAACAGAATTTAAGAAAAATATTTATGGCTTTCTAAATGAACATTTCTAAGCCCAAGTGCAGCATTAAAGGATGTAGACATTGCATTCATGAGCATTTGCCACTGTTAATTTTTAAGACTCTGTCTTTAGTGGTGCAGTGCAAAATTCCTGGTTAAATTCCTTGACTGTGCAATGGGTGGGGGAAGATACAGTGGATGGGATTGCTCCTAGTGCAAGAAAGTGACCAGGCTTAGCCTTTGGGAAACTCCAGAGAGAGGCATCCAAGTTTAAATCCTACATCATTCTGAGGATTTGCCACCACTTTACTGGGTGTTAGGTTAGGTGTGCTTCCTTCTGCATTGGATTTCTATTACAGATTTTCACGGTCTGCTCAGCTTCCTTTTCAAAAAGGGAAGCCAGGAATTATGGTACTTGTCCAGTGACTACCAGAGACAGGTAAAATTTCACTGGAGCAGCAGCTGCAACTCAGGACCCTTTCCAGCCCTGCCCCTGACCTGCACACACAGCTGGGTGTCCTGTGGTACGTGTGGGCTCAAACACACATCTGCTCTGCTGGGGAACACTT